GCATTTTTCCAGCCCGAGCGGTCCGTGAGGGCCCGGAGATCCGGAAGGAGGCAAAAATGGTTGGTGCGAGAAGGTTGCAGCGCCTGGATCTGAAGGGCCGTTCGGGCCTCTCGGGTCCAGCGGGGCCGTCACTAGGCTTCAGTCGGGCGTGTCCCTCTAGAGGAGGAGTGTACAAAAATGGTTTGTAAAAATAGTCTGGGAACATTTTTTTGCGCATGTTTTACCATTTTGGAGTTTGTTTTGACTATTTTGAATGTTTCCTCGAAGATCGGCCTGTAGGGGGACAGGCCACACCTAACACTAGGCCCCAGGGCCAGCCAGGCACGATCCGTTGCGAACAGTCTGCCCTGGAGGTGGGGTCGGGAGCTGGCGGCGCACAGGGCTGGTTGGCGTGAGGGGGGGAGGGCGGCATTCTGAGACTGCGTGGGGGTCCGCAGGGAGGGGGGACGACTGGAGTGGACGCATCGCACAGGACGAAGCACCCCGTGAATCACCAACCCATCCAACAGGTCTGCCCAGCCCGCCAGAAGTGGAAGCAACCTGGGTTCTTCGCGCTTGGCGAAGCAGGCGCAGGGATCGGGCCGGACGAAAGGGGGGGATTGGGAAAGGGGGGGTTACGAAATTTGCTGCATGCAGCTGGTTTCGGCCCCACCGAGGGGCCCATTCCTCGATACATTGCCGCCTCTGGCGCCGGGAGGCGCCGGGAAAATCAGCTACGTGAGCTGATTCTCAACCCCCCCCTTTGCTATCCCCCCCTTTCGCCCGACCCGAAGGGAGGGAGGCGGGAGACGACAGAGCAGGAGGATCCAGTTTTGGGTTGGCTCCGATGCCCTGTGTGCCCTTTGTGGGTGAGCGAAGGGGGGGGGCCTCCGCAGGCCTCTTTTGGGGGCTTCTGGGGGGGAGGCCTCCTGCAGAGACCCCATACGGGGACCCCAACGGGAGGCTCGCTTCCGGTGGGCGTTCAGATTATGGTGCGTTTGAAAGGGGACATTTGGGAACCCCCAAACCGGGTGGTGAGATACCAGGTGGCGACCTGGAATCCCCAAAAAGGTCACCGCTGGGTTTGGGGACGCGGGGTCACCACCGGGTTTTGTGACTCCTGGACCCACCAGTGTCCGGGACATCCTCGGAAAACCGCACGAGTCCCCAACCCGGGTGGTGACACCAAATCGCCCGAGACTCACCGCCAGGTGTTGTCACCACCACGTTTGGGGACTACCAAGAAAGGGGACATCAGGAAAGAATGAGACGAACACCGGCAGAAGGTCCTGCCGCTTTCGAACAGGACTCGCTGTAGGTATAAGAGCCAGCGCCGCTGGCTTGAGACGAGAAGTCACATGCCCAATACGGGCCGCTGTCGATGTCGGACCCCATTCGCTGCTAGGCAGCATATTCATGTGTCCCGTACCCGCTTCCAACGTCCAAACAGGTTGACAACAGCAAAAGCAATCATATTCTCACATGCGATCGTGCCAGTGTCAGAACAAGTTGATTTGATCTCGTACATTTGTCGATACACATATCTGCGAAGTTGAGTAACCGTGATCCTTGCACATCAAGTATGGACATGAGTTGCTGCCAGCGTGGAGTCCAAGCAGTAGGTCATTGCAATCTGGATGTGCGCCTCATGTTGAACAATGTATGGGATGCAATCTATGTTACTCAAGATACTTTGAAATCTATTGGGAGCACTAGCTGCTGCGCAAGCTATCTCATACAAGCTGTGTGGTGCAAGCTGCGCTGTCGAATGCAGTCGGCGCAACCAATGGAGTCCTGAATATGTTGTGCAGCCCATGTGATGCGATGAACGCGGTGCGATTCATGTGGTGTGATCTGTGGAATGCAACATACGTGGGGTTGATTAGTTGGTAAAAATCTGATTGGTGCAAGCTGTGGGATGCAACCTGCACTCGTTCAACGCATGGACTGTAGTAGTCCATGTGGCACAGGCTCTGTTGGGGCATCGATGTGGTGCAAGCTGTGTGGGGAAGCCTACGTGGTGCAATCCATGCTGTTCTGTATGATGTATACAGTCGGGGCGCTGAGGAAGGAACCCTTCTCGTTGGGGAGGGGCTCGGTGTTCCTTGATTGTTCTGCAGTTTGGCTTTTCTTTTCCGGAGGTTTTCCATGGGAAATCGAAGTTCAACTTATGGGAGAAAGGGGCCCCGTTCCTTCTTTAGGGTTCCTTAGGTCAACGTCCCTTATTTAGGGTTCCCGATCGCGTAACCAAGGTGTTGCGGTGCGTGTGTGCATCCAGAAAGTGGCGAGCCATCGCGCGCGGCGGCCACGGGCGGACACCGGGCGAACACCAAGAACATCATCCCGATAACATCGGGGGCGGAAAAGAGGGGGGTGATGACTAGGGGGGGGGGGATAGCATGGCGTGGGCCATGATATTTCCCCAGATTTCATGGCGCCTCTTCTTATTTCATTACGTCTCTGGCCCCCCGCTGGGCCGCGCACATGCCGCCGGTCATGATTTGCACCCCCCCCTCTTGGACACCCCCCTCTTGGCCGCTCCCGATAACAAGAAGCCCTCTGTACAAACATTGACTGGGGTGGGGCAGCGGTCTTGGACTGTTTCTCCACAGGGTTGAAACCTCCCGGAAAAGGAATTCGAATGTTCAACTCGGCGTCACAGGAACCGAATTGCAAATCGATCGCAAAACATAGTTCAAGCGCACATCTGGCCAAACCAGAAACAGTTGTCGTTTCACGAATCCCCATCAGCTCATCCAGAACGAACGCCCATTAGAGTTGCTTGGAAGAGGAGGTTGAAGCAGGGGAGGATGTGAACGAGGATGAGCAGGAGGATGAAGAGGACAAAAGTGGACAGGTGCCGACACTCCTGACCCTGGTGGGCACTTGTCCCGAAAGTGGGTATGTGCCGTGGTCATCCAGCAGGAGGAGGAGGAGGGAGAATGAGAATAAGGAGGAGGAGGACGAGGAGGATGAGGAGAAGGAGTTGAGAGGATGAGAAGGAGGACGAGGAGAAGGCATTCGCGAATATTGTTCCTTAAGAGCCCATTGGAGGAGTCTTGGGTTATTATTGGGTTTTTCTTGGGCTGTCTTGGGCCCTCTTGCGGCCTTTTCGGGTACATGGTCTCGGAAGCCTCTTGGGCCTGTTTGGCAAGGTGCTTGGGACTTCTTGGGGTTCTTGGGGGGGTCTCAAGGCCTTCGGGACTCCCCCTCGGAAGCCGCATCAATGCTTCATGGGGCCATCTGGGAATATTATTGGTGGCTTCTTGGGGGTTTCGTGGGCTGCCCTTGCGGCAAATCTGCGCAATCTTGGGGCTATTTTAAAGGCTTCAGGGGCACGTTGGAGGTGAACGCGCTAAGGCAATAGTCGTAGATGTTCTTGTTTCTGTTTCTGGCGATTGTGCCATCTTGGGTTGTTTGCTGGCGCTTGCTTGTGTTTTTGGCGCACGGGCCTCCCAAGGGGGAGCCGACCAGGGGTGTATCACCACATAGACTGGCGGTTTTGGCGGTGTGAACGTATTCACTTCCAGAGCCCCAAGATCACCGCAATGTAACAGGCTTTTCTGTTGGACTTCACTCGTTCACGCCCAGATGCTCCTCGGATGGGCACACATGTCCAGGTACACATGTCTACGTTCAGAGCCCCAACACGCCTGACCCTGGGAACTCTCAGGTAGAATTGCCCCCCTGGCTGGGTAGACGTGTCTCTTTCCAGAACTCCATATCTAGTCATCCCGATATGACAGGCATGGTACTTGGGCCTCCCAAGGAGTAACCGCCCAGGGGTGGTTCGCTGGTTCGCTCTCGCCCAGATGGCGGGGACCTCTGTAGTAGAAGGGCCACTTTGGCCGGGTAGACGTGCTTCTTTTCAGACGCGGGAAAACCTAGCATGGGAAGAGGATGAAAAAAGAAGAGGATGGGAGGACGGGGAGTAGCATGAAGAGGACCAGGCGTTGATGATCATGCGATAATGAAAGGTCGTTCTGGGAACGATTGCAAGATGAAGATTGAGGATAGGGTCGGGGATGTCGAATATATAATGTTCGTGCGACCAGGCACCGTGATAGAGCAGATCCCGGACGGCGTGCCTACGACCATTGTTCCGGTGATTGCGGATGGGAGGGGCAAGCTTGTGAGGGTGAGATGGGAAAATCGGACGAGGGGAAGAGGGCAAGTCATAATACCAGGCGCCATATTTGATGTCATACCCTTCCGTCAGATCCGATTTCATTGCCATTGCGTAGAATCCTCTTCTGTCCGCCGAATGGGGTGTCCTGGAATACCTTGATTCCCTCATGGAAGTTGCAGCACATGACCCACCTTTTGTTGTGTCTGAGCTGAAAGCGGGCCGTCTGTACAACACAGGGGGGGCGAAGGAGGAGACAAGGCCCGCGCAGAGACGTGGCCCGCGCTGGGGCGAGATCTCGATTTTGAACGACGGACGCGAGGCGCCAATCCAGAAAGGTGGCCTGACGCGAGCACCTTCATGCGGAGCCGAAGGCGCTCCGAAGGAAGAGCATACATGAAAGACAGAACTAACATGGAAATTGTCGGGGGGAACAGCCGCGCCAGTGCGCGAGATCGGCGGGTCTCGCACGGGCACGCTGTCAGCGGAACAGCCGAATGAGCCATGGGGGGGAGGTGAGGCGACGAGGAATGGCATGTTGCACAGCGGAGGAGGGAGGAGGAGGAGGAGGAGGAGGAGGAGGAGGAGGAGGAGGAGGAGGAGGATCGAGCCGTAATAACTTCATACATCAATTTTCGTCTGTGCGCGCGGATTGATTGTATCGGCGCTGCGCACCCTCCCTAACGCGCGGAGCCCGCCAGAAAACGGCGCTGGAAGCGCCGCCAGACGCTCGAGCGTGGCGTTGCGCGCCCCCCGCTCATGTCAAGAAAGGTTGGAAGATATGGGAGCACAGGGGACGAGGGACACCCACGACACGTTGAACAATTTAGAAACTCTAAGGATTTGAGCAGTTTTATGTGTTTCTACCTCAGCCCTCTTCCCGACAGCAGTGCAGGAGCGGAGGCTGGAGCAGCGGCTGTTCGGATTGGTGGGGAGGGCGTGCCCCCCCCCACTATCGTCTCATCGAGCGGGTAAGGGTGGCGGCGGGCATCATCATGGAATGCGCGCGGCCTTCTTTGCGTCAGTCACAAACGCCGCCACCGAAAATGGAAATTATTCGAGTCCTTCATGCGCCAGGGCGCGGTCATCTCGATGCAGGAACGTCATGGATCGTCGGCGCGACTCCGGCTTACCCTCCAACGCGTTCCCCGTGCCAGTTCTGCGTGTTTGCGGGCCGTTCCCCAGCAAAAGGCGGCATTGCATTTCTTGTCCCCCGGACTCCCGTGCCCGACACGCTACGCAGTCCTGCGCCGGCACCTTCAGAGACGGACAGCACTTCGCGAAGTATTTCCCCGCGCGTCTGCGTCGTCTTCTTCTTCTTCATCTTCGCCCGCCGCCCCGGGACGGCCCTTCGGCGCCAGTCGCCGCCGGGCGTTCTACAGCAGCGCGCGCGCATCAGCGGGTAATTTCCATTGCCTGATTGAAACTGTTGCCCCCGGACGTGCAGCCACGCTCCCGTGCATCAGCCTATCCAAGGGCACCTCTGCGGAGCTCACGAACATTCACAACTACGACGTGGACGCGTCCAGCTTCGAGAGGCGCGTGCATGGACCATGCAGGGTTCCCACCGCGACCGCCTCCACTTCTTCCTGGCGATGGGCGATGTCAACCTCTTACGGCGCGCCTTCCTCCGCGGGATCGGCTGCGACGCCGCGAACCAGAGCCGACTGTCATGCCAACGCGTGGTGGCAGTTATTCTGGAGCATGACAGAAATCTCAACGGGGCGACCGACGCGGTTTTCGAAGGCCACTCGCACGGCATCAGCAATAGATGGGGCTTTCATCTCCACCGCCGCGCGCGCCCTCCTGCACAACGACGTCCCTTGCGCTTCACCTTCAAGCTGAAACGCTACTCGTACCACTATGAGAACCTCTTGAACACGTCCACGGTCGCGCGCATGGGCGTCGAAGGCCGCTGGCGGGCGACCGAACTCCTCATGCGGGAGGGCGCGAGGCTGACGCGCAACGAGGCCAAGCAGTGCCGCAACGACGACCTCTCCGACTTCGCCCGGCACGGACGTCTCGTCAACACCAGGGCCCACTCCTGAGCGGTCTGGCAGAACAATGCCGCGACGGCCGACCTTCTGATCGCGACCGCGGAGCTGGGAGGGGAGAACCTGCTTGTCCAGGGCACCGCGGTGTCCCTGAAGAGCCCCGGGGCGCTTGCCAATCTCCCCCGCCGCCTCCCTCAGGAGGGGGGCGACGGGCGCCGGGACAGGCGGCTCGCAACTCTCGGGGCGCAGACGAAGAGCCTTGGCAGAAGCAACAACTCACCATCCAGTGCCGCCCGCAGCTTCGGCCGACCGCTCGACCCCGCCTCCTCTTGAAAAGGGGCCCGGGTCACCCTGGGAGTCCCTGGGGCCATGAGCTCACCCGATCGCCTGCAGCCGTGGCCGGACGGCCCGTGCTCTCAAGGAACAGCGGAGGCCCGTCTTCGCAGGCTCTCCGGTCGACGAGGACGCCGTCGCGGAGCACTTGCGGGTGCACCCTCCTCCTCTCGACACCGTCGACCTGCCCATCCTGGGGCGCGCCCATCTGTGAGGTCCTGGCTCAGACCAGTTGCCGTGGTTGCGGGGGCGGCTGCGCCTGATTCAACATCTATGCTACATTATGTCACGTAGCAAACGTTCTACACTGCCCCCCCCCGTGCGCTTCCAACTTCTCTGATTTTTGTTTCCTGCCAAAGAGGTGGGATGTTGCCGATGATATCGACTGTCTTTGGGATGCTGGTTGTGTTCGCCCTTCGAGTTTTAAGAACGTTGCTTCTAAGGGCATCGGCCGTGAATCGTGCCTTGACCCCTTCTGGTCACTGGTCAATGAGCGCGCGGACCCCGTGCAACAGTGGATTGCCCTCGAGCGCCACTTTCCCGCCAGCATCGTCTCATTCGACCTGGAGGCCCGCCGCGCTTCCCTTCTTCCGGAGCGCAGGCCGCTGTTTCTTTCTTTTCATGTGCGCACCGCGTTTCCCAGCCTATCCCAGGTATTGTCTGGGCGCCAGCAGTTGAAGCCTCTCTTCGCCACCTCTGCGGATTGCTCCTCTTGGGCTCCCGGGCGGCGGCGTGCGCCAATGACACGGGGCCATTGCTAGCAGAAGCTCGCCTGCTCAGCGCTGTTCTGGCAGCTTTTCTGGGCCACGCGAGCGCTGGCAAATCTTGCACTCCAGACCAGCAAATGCAACCCTGTGCCATTGTGGCGGTCGTGCTCGCCCCAAGTCGAAGCCGAAGCTCGCGCTCTCGTCGCCTCTTTTGCCCAGGATTGTCGGATCCTGCAGGTCTAGATGTCTGCATTGGCCTTGATACCACGCTCGCCATGCAGTGGCGAGTTGCTGCCCAGAAGTGGTGGGCGCGCGTGCATCTCCAGGCTGCCGGCGGCGCTGCGATGGACAGTGCCTGTGTTGTCATATTTCGTTTTTGCCGTCGATCGCAAAATATCCCGCGGTACGAGATCTCTGCGCTGCACAAGGCCTGCCGGCTACCCCCAGATTCACAGAAGCTGGCCAATTTCCACTCCCTCCGCTCGCGGGGAAAACTGGGGCCCCCCTCCATCGTCGCATGCAGCGTCGCGGCGGCATGGCGGTTTTGTTCATTTGCTCACTGGTCCTGAACATGCCCTTGCCCAGGGTTGGCCCGGGTGAAAAGGGCCGTCCGCTGGATTGGGCGCTTGCCGTTGCGCCCGATCAGCCTGCTTCGTGCGCGCTGCTTCAGCGTCCGCACGTCAGGACGCAACGACGCGCTTAACGGCTGGTTGTTCGATTACAGCGACATGCCCTGGTTTGCGTCAGGGACGTTTGGGGGCATCGGGGTGTCCGCGGGGTTCAGAATAACATTGGAGTGGTTGTGCCTGTCCCATTTGGCATTTGGCGACGGGCACCACCACTCTGTTGCGTTTGGGACTGCCCGCAGGAGCGTCGTTGCAATTTCACGTTCCCCGGGGGCCGCTGCGGCCGCGTTCGGGGGTGCTCTCGGGGGCCGCGCGTGCGCCCGAGAGCGATTCCGACCAAACGCCACTTCGACTAGGTACGGGTACCTGTCCGGAGGTACCATCAGCGCGCGTCGGCGATTGTGCCCCCCGACACGTACCCGGACCTAGCTGGGGTGACGCCAAGCGGGTTTTCCAAGGGGCAGCCCCTGGCGACCGCGCCTGGCGTTCGGGGCCCCAGGCGTTTGGGGCGAGCGCGGGATTGCAACGGCGCCCGCCCAGGACACCCAGGACGCATTTTGCGCGTCGAGCCCCAGACGCTTGATTGTGCGCCTTCGTGGGCGCACCTCCGGACGACCTACTCTAGCCCGAGAGTGACCAATGCGTGGTCGGCCACTCTGCAGATTGGAACGCGCGCGCCCTCGGCGCCAGTGGATGCCCGGAGAAGACAGCGTCCTGTAATGTTCCATGGGCCGTCGCGTCTGCCTTTGTACAACCGTCGTCAGCTGCGGCGCGTCGCCCCCCCACCCCTCCTGGGTAAAGGTACGGGTGCCTTTCGTGCTCGAGATTTGCGAGCGAAGGGATGTGGGGTCCTCGGTTAGCTGCCTTCTCGGAGGCAGCCCACTTGCATGGCTCCTTGGCCCGATGGCTCCGCGGGCTCCTCAGTCCGCCTTCCTGGCAGCAGCAGCAGAAGAGCATCGGAGAGATGCACTCCTCGATCGCTCGCGTCCGCCCCATCCCGATTTCTGCTGCAGAGTTCGACTGCCTGCTTATACGGCTGCCCAGAGGGCTAGCTGCAAAGCAGCCGCCCCGGCCGCGCCCAATCGTCAGCGCCCTAAGCTTCAACGCGCCGTTGTCCGCGCCCTGTCTACGTCCATGTCCCCCGACACCTTCGCCTCCACCATCGCCAAGCGTTTGATGAAAGCGTTGGATCCGTCATCCGACGTGCCTGTCGACTTAGAGGTCCGCTGGCAATCGCTGTTGCGCGAGCTTGCGCAGATGCCGCCAGACCGCAAGTGGCGCGTGGTGAAGACGTTGTTCAGAGGCTTTTCCCCATGCATTTTTTAAACGTGTTGTGGGCCCCAAAAAATCACGGTGTCCGCCTGGGCCCACGTCGGACGAGCGGAGATGCGAGCGCAGTGGCGCGCGCGGTCGCGCGGAACCCGCCGCTGGCAATACCGCGAATGCGCGGGCGCCGCGGCGACGACGACGGCGACGGCGACGACGACGGCGGCGCCTGCGCCGACGGTGACGACGACGGCGGCAACGGCGACGGCGGCGACGATGAACATCGCGGCGACGGCGGCGACGGGGCCTGGGCCCACGGGCGAACTTGCGCCCCTCCCTCGCCCTGGAGTCGGGCCATATCCCATGGGGGGAACGAAATTCGTGCGCGCAGTTTTGCCTTGGCCGTTCCTTCACTTTACTAAAGCTGTCGTTTCGCTTTAGTGAAACGTCGTTTTTTTTTGCCCGGGATGTGTTGAGCTGCGCGCCTTTACTAAAGCCGCTTCTTTGCTGTAGTAGAACCGTGCCGTCGTTTTGGTCAAAGCCGCCTCCTCGCTTTAGTAAAGCCGCTTCGTCGTTTTAGAAAAGTCCGCGGTCTGCCTTAATAGAGCCCAAGGGATGCGGTGGCGATGTTGGGTCAAGGCCCGGTCGGGGGGCGGGGGGCCCTTGTCTTTCCTGCCCGGTCACCCCGCGATGCATTTGCTCGAGTAATCAGGGTCGCGTTGAATTGGGTCGCGGCGACCCAAGGGCTTTCCAGGAATCTGTAGATGCTCCTTGACAGAAGATTCATGGCGCGAACGCAGGACGTGCCTCGGCAATTCGGACGCGCCGCCGCGGTTGTCGCGCAACAGAGCAGGAGCACTTTACTAAAAGGCTTGCTTCCTTTAGCAAATAGTTTCTTCAAAGTTGTGCGGCAGCGGCAGCAGCAGCGGCGGGAGGCAGCGGCAGCAGCAGGAGGAGCAGGAGGAGCAGGGGGCAGGGGGATAATGAGAAAGACGACGAGCAGGAAAAAGGGAGAGGAGGACGAGAAAGATGAGGAAGAGGACGGGGTTGCGAGCTGCGAAACAACACGCGAAGGAAACACACGGCGAAACGATATCAAACCAAACACACTTCTGCATACAACGCGCCATGGGAATCCACTTGCTATGCCAGCGCTAAAGGACGCGGGGCGCAGAAAACCGAATACGAGCGCGCGATGGCGCCCCTGACGAGATCTAAGCCGAAAGTTGAAATCCGATCCCGCTCCGCGCGCGCACTTGCGCGTCGAATGGGCGCATCATAAAATCGCATTGCGCTCCAAAAAACGGAAACCAACAAACCACATACATTGCCAACACAATCGCATGCATTGGAAGACCGAGAGGCAATTGTCGTCTAAAGCGCATACGTCCGAGCCCCTCGGTAATAATGAGAACGTTCCGCTTCCAAGTTGTGCGCGGGCTGGAATACGTCCCGCAGGGTGCCACTGGGCAGTGCCATTGGACAGTGCCCACCGCCCTCCCCAGGCCTTCCCGACTCCTCGCTTACTCGTCTTGTGGGGATTCACCTCCGAGCACTACCATGCATCCCGAGACGACGCTCGCCCAGCGGCCACCCGCAGGATGACAATCGCTTCAAATATTTTCACAGTGTGAATGAAGTTCGAGTTTGACTTTCTGCCTGAGTCTCAGGGAGAACGCGCCCGGGGCTCTTATGGCTTCGCTCACGGATGCCTTTGGCGGCCCGCCAGAGCGCCGAGCTATGAGTTGCGGGTGGGTTATTGCGGGGTGGGTGGGTTGGTGTGGCTCACATTCATTGTCTTGGGCGGGGCGTTCAAGTCAGAAGTTGTCGCGGCGAATCCGTGCTCCCGCATTTGATCGTTGAGCATTGGCACGCCGCCCCTTCATGCTCGGTCGGGCCTCTTCTATTTCCCACGGTCCTTTGCTCGATCGTTGCGAGGTTCCGCCTCTCTCAAAGCGAGTGCGCCGGCTTCTCTTCGGAAGGATCGGCGCGCCTCAGGCGACGTCTCCTCCTTTTTCTCCTCCTCCTCCTCCTCCTCGTCCTCCTCCTCCTCCTCGTCCTCGTCCTCCTCTCACTCCCTCTCCACGCTTCCCCCCCTCCCCCAGCCTGTGGAAGCAGGGGTACGTGAGCTTGCCGACGCGCCGCCCAGAAGTGGATCCACCCGCCCGAGGGTCAGCCCTCAGGAGGCCCGGCGAGACCCCGAGACCCGACGACGCGAAAGTACAGTTGAGACGCATGCCAAGAGACACCCTGCTTGCCTCCAGGGTGCAGTGAGTTTCTGGGTTTCGATGTTCTGGCAACGGAGAGCGCGATGTTCACGCACCAAGCACTCATACCTGTGCCACCCGCACTTTGGTCGGGGCGGAGGGGGGACTATGGGCGTGAGTTGTGAGATGGGAGTCCCCGCTCGAATGGGCGCCCCCTTCGGGGTCTGACAGCTCGCACCCATACTTGTAGCGCAGCGCGTTCATCACCCTGCCCTTCCCCACTCTTCCTCCCGAAAGTGCGGTCAAGGTCTACCATGTCCACTGCGTATTGAGCCTTTTTTCTGGACAGGGTCGCGGAAAGACCGAGGCGCCGTTGCGCTTGACGATCGAGGATTCGATCCTTCGTGCTTTGGCCGAGGGGTAGCCATGGCCACTGCAGATTCGATCCATCGTTGTTTCCGTTATCTTTTCCTGCTCCTCTTCGTCTTCCTCCTCCTCCTCCTCTTCCCTGCGTCCTCTTCCTTCGCTCGTGTCGGACATCGTCCGATTAGGTCTGCGCACTCGCGAGTTGCCGCTTTGCACAAGGGATGCCAGCCCACCTTCGGAGCATTCTCTTTCTTGTCGTTTTCTCCTCCGCCTCTTTCCTTCTCCTCCTCCTCTTCCTCCTCCTCCTCCTCCTCTTCCTTCTCTTCCTCATCCGTCTGGTGTTTCATTGCGGGCCGATGTTGCTTCTCTCATGCCACGGTATACTGCAAGCGTTTGTTTGCCTGTCGCAGGTCGGCTCAAGTGGTGGTCCCGGTTTGCCTGGGGACTTCTAGAATTGCATTGTGATTTCAGCCCGGGCAAATCGAGATCATGCGATCGCGAAGAAAACACCGGCCGAGATTCAGTGGAAATGAGCCAAAAGTTACCTTCTATGGGCCAGATTGTATACCTATCCGCTGCGCACCTTGGTTTCTGGGGAGAAGGGGCCCGACACTTCAAGATGCGGTGGATATGGATACAAATCTTTCCCGCACATCGATTTGAGCGTGTGCTTTTTGATCAAGAAGTTCAGGGGCTGATGGGGCCGCCTCTGCATCGGGCCCGGAGGTGGCCCTCCCGCTCACCACGCCCGCGCCTGGCGTGCACGTGCGCGCCCTGGAGCAGCTGGCGGTGCCAGCGCCCCCGGAGTCAGCACCGGCGGGGCTGGAGACTCCCGAGTTCTTCTGTCGATGGCGAACCATGCGAGCCCCGTTTGCCCTTAGAGCGCGCAGGCGTGGATTAGTGCTTGGTGATCGATGAGACGGCGCTGATTGGGCGTCGATGCCGGATCGACTTGCATATATTCGGCCTCGGGGGGGAGGGGGGGCCAGTCACGTTACGATTCGCGCCTGCGCCCTCTTGAGATGCTACTGGCGAAAGGCTGATTCCCACGCGCCGCCGGCGCTAATCGTGAATGTTCTAAGAACCTTTTGTGGTCTGCACGGTATGTTCTTTGAACATGCCTTGCCAAGACTGTCTTGCTTTGACACATCGGGCTTATGTTCTAAGAACATTGTGTTTGTTAGTGCGGCGTTTTTTTGGTTCTAGGAACATGTCGTGGTAGGCCTGTAGCAATGCCGGGGCGGCCGGTCACTGCTCAAGGGAGGGGTGTAGAGCAGGTTTGGCCACGGGTGTCATTACGAATGACCAATGTCACGCGCGCGTCGGCTCGTACTAGGGAGGGCCAGGGCCGGGAGGAGCGTGCTGCGGAGGGAGGGGGGGATGGCTCGGGTCCATCGTGGTGTTTTCTCGAGGCCATCATGAACACCATGAGGAGACAGGGGTAGGGTGGCCTGGGGGGGGGGCGACGAGCGGGCGAACGAGCAGCGGCGAAGATACAGGGCTCCGAGCTGTACAACATAGCTTTGCAAGGTGATGAAGACCTCCGAGCGGCTCGATCAGTGGTTCCCCCAGAGGTCTTCCCCGAGGTATCCCCAAAGGTCCCTTTCGCTGGCCGCGCCCCGCTCGCAAAGTGTCGACGTGGCCTTCCAATGGGGCCTTCCATCCTCGCCGCGCATACTTATTGTACGGGTTGACTGTAGGCCAGAGGAGGCGGGGGAAAGCCACGGGCGAACCAGCGACGAAAAGTGCCGGCGAGGGGGCCGTTGCGAGGGCCAGGTGTGGGCCAGGGGAGGAGGAGCAGGCCGCGGGGGGGCCTGGGCGGAGCGAGAAGGCGGGGGCACAGGGCCAGGGGCAGGCCGGGGGCAGGGGGGCAGGCCACGAACGAACGAACGGCGAAAGGGAAGAGGTCCGAGCTCTAGAATACACCTCGGCAAGAGAGAACAGAGGGGCTCACGGGCTCCGAGTGGCAGGGGGTCGCAGGAGCGCGCCGCGTCGCCCCTGCTCGAAGAGGTTCTCGGTCCGCGGCGCGTGGGCGGTCGCCCATGCGCTCGGCGAAGCCGGCGGGCCGCGCTGGGGCAGAGGCAGAGTGGAGAACGAGGAGGAGATGAGGGCGACCGCGGGTGAGGAGCGCGGGGAGGGGATTCCGGCCGGGAATGGCCTCAGTCGCAGGAGAAAGAACGCCACAGGCATCCGCGGGTGGCAGCTCGCGCGGATGCCGGGCGTTCTTTCGGGCGTCTCTTTCGGGATGCAGGCACGCGAGCGTATGTGTCGGCAAGGCTCGGGCCGGACGGAAGGGGGGGATTGGGAAAGGGGGGAGTACGAAATCTGCTGCATGCAGCTGGTTTCGACCCCACCGAGGGGCCCATTCCTCGATACATGGGCGCCTCCGGCGCCGGGAGGCGCCGGGAAAATCAGCTACGTGAGATGATTCTCAAGCCACCCTTTGCTATCCCCCCCTTCTCGCCCGGCCCGAATATTTCGGCAAGGCTCGAGTAGTGACCTTTCCAGAGTGGCCCACGACGCTCTCACCGAAAACGAAGAAACGCCATGAGCATACTCTGTTCGATCTATGCGCGGATTGCTCGGACCCGCGCGCTGGGGCCCCCCCGGCGGCGCTTTTGGCGCCGCCCCCGGGGCGCTCCGCTCGCCGGGGAAGGGGGGCCCAGCGCAGACCCAACACATCCGCGCGCAGCGCCAAAAGTTTATGGTTGTGCCGTTTCTTCTACTCCTCCTTCTTTTTCTTCTCCTTCTTCTCAGGCGACTCGCGGCCGTTTCTTCTCCTCTGTTCTTCTCCTTCTCCTTCTTCTTTTTCTCCTTCTCCTTTCTTCTTCTCGCCGTTTCTTCTCCTTCTCCTTCTCCTTCTTTTTCTTTTCCTTCTTCTCAGGCGACTCGTGGCCGGTGATCTGCCCCGCTCCCCGCCATTTTTCTCGGCCCTTCGGCCGAGGGGGGGGGTCCAGGCCAGCGGCAGCCTGTCGCTTGCAACTGCAGCAGGGAGCGCGGGGGGGGGAGGGAATCCTCGCACGCTCGAGAGACGAGAGGCGGCATATACACCTCACTTCCTGGAGGGCCCCGCGGCTCTCTCGGACCCGCGCCAGGCCCCCACCCCCTGGCTGCGCCTCCGGCGCCGCCCCCGGGCGCGCTCCGCCCGCCGGGGAGCGCGGAAGGGGCGGGGGAGGGAACCTTCGCACGCTCGAGAGACGAGAGGCGGCATATACACCTCATTTCCTGGAGGGCCCCGCGGATCTCTCGGACCCGCGCCAGGCCCCCACCCCCCGGCTGCGCCTCCGGCGCCGCCCCCGGGCGCGCTCCGCTCGCCGGGGAAGGGGGGCCCAGCGCAGATCCAAGGCATCCGCGCGGAGCGCCATCAGTTTACGTTTCGCGATGCCGTTTCCTCTTATTTGTTTTTCCTTCGTCTTAGCAGGCGACTCCTGGCCGGGTCACCTTCCCCATTCGCTTTCCATTATGTTTCTTCTTATGATTCTCTTCTTCTCCGGCGAATCTTGGCCAGTTTCTTCCCCGCGTTCCAGTCATTATTTTTCTCAGCCCTCGGCCGAGGGGGTCCGGGCCAGTGGCATCACTTGCGACGACGGCGGGGGGGGGGCGGGGGGGCTCCGGCGTAGAGGATCTTCGCGTGCTCGAGAAACAAACAGCGGCAGACACGTCATTTTTGGAGGGCCGCGCGGATTTCTTGGATCTGCGCTGGCGAAGACGAGAGCTCGGGGTCGGACTGATGTTGAGTGGCGTGCCGCTCGGCCGAAGGGCTGCATCCTCGTAGGAGGTGGTGGCCCTGTGGTCGTGCAGCTCTCCTCACAATTGTTTGCCCAGTTTGTGTGGGTCTTCTGCCGTGGATGTCCAAAACTAATCCCTGGCGGCGCCTCCGGCGCCGCCCCTGGCGCGTTCCGCGCGCCAGGGGGGTGGGCTCAGCGCCGATCCAAGAAACCATCGCGGGCACTCGAGAGATCATGGCGATGCTGTCTGGTGTTCCGCTAGCTGCTAGCTGCATCGGCGATGCGGCACGGTGTGGAGCCCGCATTTCTCCACGCTGAGGTTGCCGATGCGTCGCCGACGCCGCCGATGCATCGGCGAAGAGTTGGCGATGCGGCACGCTCCTCCGTCCCCATCTTCTCGGACCCCATCTGGGATGTCTGCAGATACCTGAGCTTCTGGACAGAGCCAGACCCACGGATGTTTCGAACTGTAGAGTCTGAGCTGTTTCTGGATCGCCGACCTCGTCAGGCCTTGGGAAGTGGTCGCAAGGTTTAAGTCGGACGTGTCCCTCTACAGGAGGAATATCAAAATATAGTTCGAACACTAGTATGGGACTTGTTACATAATAACAACTTGTTTTTTTGTAAGTTTACTTTGTCCAAAATCCGCCTGTAGGGGGACACGCCCGACCGAACTCTAGCGTCTGCACAGTGTCCTCAAGTGTCTGCACAATGTACACTAAGTCCCCGTTCCAGAACATCCCACATGCGCCTCGAGCTCAACGCGGGGGGCATCTGATCTCCAGTGGATGAGCAGCAGGCGTGCCCGCAAATACCGTACACTGACTGCCCCCACAAGAGAATCATTTCAGATATTGCAGCGTTTCGAGGTTCCTTCGCGACGAAGCAGCCCCATGTGAATCTTCAGTGTGCTGACGTGGACCTCACACGCACCGTCTCCACCAGCCACTCCTGCGCAACACTAGGCCTGCATTTTTTCTGTATCCCCGCGCTGATTGCTATTGTTTACTGTTCTTCGAGCGGGAGCCGCTGGCAGTCGATGCGTCCCCCTTGGAGGTGCTTGGCATCGTCCTGGTCGCCCTCCTTGTGTGGTTCCTGCCGTGGTTCCCGGGGAGGCTGTGGGTGGGGTGATGGGAAGTGCATGGATGTGCCGGGGACGCAACTGGAGCCGATCTAGTTCCAGAGAACTCCAGAGCGTTCCGAGGCGCTCTGGAACTGCCGCGGCGCCCGAGTCAGCCCCCGGGCTCGCCGCACCCTTCATGCTTGGCCTGTCTTCCATTACCACCACCATAAGTTGGAGGGGGAGGGGGTCCTCCTCCTCCTCCTCCTCCTCCTCCTCCTCCTCCTCTTCGTCCCCCTCCTCCTGATCCTCGTCCTCCTGATCCTCCTCCTCCTCCTCCTCCTCCTCCTCCTCCTCCTCCTCCTCCCTCCAACTTGTGGTGGTGGTGGAAGACAGGCCCATCATCTCAGATAGCCCTGAGTCAATCACGCCTTTCCCTGCTCGTCGCCCTCATTCGGCGCAGGAGGGCGGCTCGGGAGGGCCCCCGCGCCGCGGGGGGAGCGTCGGAGGCCCCCGGGGGACGTCGCTCGGGCCTCGGGGCCAGATGGACCTTGTTTGGGGTGGGCTGCCGGGCCCCGATGGGGGGAGGAGGAGGTCGGGACGTCCCCCCCTTTCTTCCCCCCCCCCCCTTCCTCGCCTTGTCCTCCGTCTCTCGGCCGCCAGAGTGAAGCAGCGGCGGCCGCGCCGCCCCTCGTGCCCGGCGGCCTCGCCGCCCAGGCGCTGGTTGGAGGCCAGGGGAGCCCTCCCACCGCGCCCGGGGTAGAGTGGTTGGAGTGACCCCCGCCCCTACGCTCGTCTCCTCGCCTTGTCCTCCCGTGTCGTCCCCGCTCCGCGCTCTCCCTCGCCTCCAGGGGGAACCCCCGTTTCGGTTGGTGGTGCCCACTTTCAACACCTGCCACGCCCACTGCGGTACTTAGGGCAGGGAAGGGCTGCATCCTTTGGGTCCGTTCGCCCTGAGCAGCAGCAGTTCGGGACACCAGTAGACCCAGCATGTATTGAGGTCGCAGGTCCGAGGGTGGAACAATTTGCACGGGTGGGGCCTCGGTTCGGCCCCAGCAGCCTGAGGCGAGCACATCGGGCTCCACGAGCATGCGAAGGCTTACTGGGGAAGCGCGGGACGTCGCGTCTGCCGGGCTCCGTGCGGAAGACCCTTGAGATGGGTGCGGATGGACGGATGTATCGAGCGTGCGTCTTGCGAGAGGCGGATCCTTTTTTTTATTGCGTTGGCTGAGGCGTACATGATGGGGGCGCGTTTCATAACAAGTCAGGCGCGCGCCCTGCAAGGGGAGGAGTAGAGAGGAGGGGCTCGTGGCCAAGCCTGGCCTCGAACGCCTCTCTCGCCGGGCCCGCCAGGCGCGTTGCCCCAGAGTCGGCGTGGTGCCGTTGCCGCCCGCTTCGGCCGATCGTTGTTTCAGCTTCAACATCGACGTGGTGGCGTGCGGTCACTGGCCTCTCGGGGAGTGAGTCGGCACGTTCGCGCCCACTCGCACTCAGCTCACGCGCGCTCGGACTCACTTGCATTCAGTCGCTCACGCTGAAACTCACTCACACTCAGTCTCGTTCAAAACAGACAAACACCACACTCGGCGTTCACGGCGATGTAGCAGGCGCAGCATTTGGGCACCCTGAGGGTGAGCCGCCATGGGGCGTTACCCTTGCCGAGTCGCGACCGTATGGCGGGGAAGTCGCGAACGAGGCGCCCGTTGTGCGTCGCCGGCCCCTCTGCCTCGAGAGCCCCGTGATCACCGCGACGTAGCTTGCGCAGCACGTGGGCACCCCGAGGGAGAGTCTCCAGGGGTGTTACACATGGCCGTTCGCGCCGAGATATGATGAGATACATCGATCGAGGCGCTGGTTTGTCGTCGCCGATCCTTCTCCTTTAAGAGCTTTGTGATCACCGCGGTGTGGCACGAATCGCACTGGACACCCCGCGGGGGGGGGGGGGGGCGTGTTACACTTGCCCATTCGCGCTGACAGCGTTGGAATGTGAAGAGCAAGGTGCTCGGCTGGCGTTCCTGACCCTTCTGCTTTGAGAGCCCCGCGACCACCGCGACGCAGCATGCACAGCAGTTGGATACCCCAAGGGGTTTCCACCAGGTGGTGTTACGATTGCCCGTTCGCGCCAAAGTGCTCGGATGTGTCCAGCGGTGCGCTCGTTCGGCGTCGCCGATTCCTCTGCTCTGGGAACCCCGCGATGACCGCGATGCAGCAGGCGTAGCACTTGGACGCCCCAAGGGAGCGCCGCCTGGGGTGCTAACACGTGCCCGTTCGCGATCAGATTGGGGGGGGTGCCTTGGGCGATGCGGTCGCTTGGCGTCGCCGACTCCTCTGGCTCCAGAGCCGCATGACCACCGCGACGCAGCAAGCATGTCGTCTGCGGGCTTGAAGGGCGCGCCGAGATTGCGTGGATGATGATGATGATGATGATGATGATGATGATGATGATGATGATGATGATGATGATGATGATGATGATGATGATGATGATGAGGAGGAGGAGGAGGAGGAGGAGGAGGAGGAGGAGGAGGAGGAGGAGGAGGAAGTGGAGGAGGAGGAGGATGTTTCGAGCAGAGGATTCGGTTGGCGCCCCCGAATCCTCCGCTGCAATGGCCCCGTGGCCACAGCGACGGAGCAGGTGGGGTTCGCCGGTGAGCGCTCCATCGCTACAGGCCAAATCTCTTTTACTCAGGCGCTCACGCCAGGAAGTGCCAGGACATGAATTTTCCAAACGCTCCGCGTATCCCCACCAGCGGTACTTTGCTTCTCCCTCCCTTCGTCGTTCTCGTCCGTTTTGGTCTCGCTTCTTCCCTGCTGCCAGCTGTGTTTTAGGCTCCTGTGCTGTGCTACGTCGGCTTGGTTGTCGTTTGACTTACGGACGCCCCGCGGCTGCCCGCTTGCAGTTGGCAAACAAAAAAATATCCCCACCAGCCCGTCCAGAGACGATGCCCAGAGGCTTTGCCCCGATCAGGGGAGCGGGCGGCACGAAGGTGAAGGGTCCCTCTTGGAGCGCTCCTGGGACACTCTTGGGCGCTCTTGGGGCCGTATTGTGATTCTCTTAGGACTCTCTTGCGTTAGGCTGTCCCTGGGGCCTCTTGGAGCGTCTCGGGGAGCCTTGTAGGGCCTCTTGGGGGCCTTTTGGAAGCCTCTTGGAGCCTCTTGGGCGCCTTTTGGGGCCTCCAGGGCGCCTCTTGGAGCCCTCTTGAGGGGCTCTTCGGAGCCCTGGAAGCGTTCTTGGGGCCCCCTTGGAGGACATCGATCAAACACGAGGGCAGCACGAATTAGCGCTGCCCTTCGGGAACCCCGAAAGTCGCCACATGGGGCGCTCTTGGAACGCTATTGGGCGCTCTTGGGGCCGTCTCGGGGCCGTCTTGGGCCTTTTTGGGGCCCTCATGACCATCTTGGAGCCATCTTGAAGCTTCAGATGGCCATCGGAACCGAAACACCGTGATTTCTCGATGGTTCTGGAAGGATCGTGTCCTCCTCGGGGCCTCCAGGGGGAGCTCTTTGGCCACGTGGAGCCGTCTTGGAACGGTCTTGGGGCCTCTTGGGCCATCTTGGGAGCCATCTTGAGGCATCCTGGGGTATCTTGAGTCATCTTGGGCTCTCACAGGCGCTTCTGGGGCCATCTTAATGAGTGCCCCCCCCCCAGGAGGCCAACATGTGGCCAAAGTCTTGACAACATCAGTGATTGTGGCATTCTCGCCGGGGCCTCTTGGGGCGTCTTGGGTGCCGCTGGGGGGTTTCTTGGGGCCTCTTGGGGGTGTTTTGGGAGCCTCTTGGGGACATCCTGAGGGGATTCCTGGGGCCTCCTGGGCACATTTTGGGGCTCTCTTGGGGCCCCCTTGGGAGCCTTGGGGGCCATATTTGGGCCATCTTGGAGGACATCGATCAAACAAGAGGGGAGTTTCAATTGGCGCTGCCCCCCGAGAGGTCAAAACGGGGCCACATTTTTGTGGTAAAACCAACGAGTTCTCGCAGAGGCCGTTTTGGACGCACTGACACCTCGCGACAGGCCCCGTCCAGGTCTGGGGAAGGGAGTATGGGGAATGGCCAACTCTTCCCCGAAGGGGAAGAGGGGCAGACGGAAGACAAAACGCCCTAGACCACCCTTCGCCCTAAAGGGCAGGTGGGATTCAGATTTTGGAACCACCGCGTCGAAACCATGTTTTCAGTGGCTCACGCCAGTCCGCCGCCCCCAGGCGGAGTAGAGCCGCCAAGGGCTTTAGGTAGGCTATGTTGGAGCTGAAAGGTTTTTTTTTTCTCACGCCCGCGAGGGTGGAGGAGGAGGAGGAGAAGGAGGAGGAACACCGGCTTGGCGGTAGGAGGAGGAGGAGGAGGAGGAGGAGGAGGAGGAGGAGGAGGAGGAGGTGGAGGAGGAGGAGGAGGAGGAGGAGCAGGAGGAGCAGGAGGAGCAGGAGGAGCAGGAGGAGCAGGAGGAGCAGGAGGAGCAGGAGGAGAAGCAGGAGCAGGAGCAGGAGCAGGAGCGGAGGCGGCATGGATGAGGGCGGAAGAGGCAAGGCAGGACAGAATTCAGGGGTGCAAGGGGGGCTGGTGGGGTTGGCCACTGCTTGAGGGTTTTTCGGGGGAGGCGTCCAATGGAGGCTCTGGGGAGCCGTTCGTCGTCTCGAGGGTGGCGTCCAGTGGAGGCGCTGGGGAGTCTTTTGTCGGCTCCTGGTGGGCTCGTGGGGGTGGCTGGGTGCTTTGTTGGACAGCCTCTGGAATGCACAATGAGGGTCTCTTGTAATGACTCTCAGGGGTATCTGAGAGCGCCTTGGTCGGCAACCGGTTGGCCGTTTATGGCCTCATGGGGGCCCTTTGGGTTTTTTGTTGGGGGGTTCTCGGAGGTCTCTTGGGGACCTATTTTTGGGGCGCCTCGGGGGTCACCCGGGGGTCTCTTGGGGCAATCACGGCGGGAAAGACTCGAGATGTCAGTTCGTATTGCCCCTTTGGGGGCCTTCCTGGGCCGTCTTAGGGGCCCCTGAGGCTGTCTTGGGGCTCTATTGGGCCGTCGTTGGGCCCTCCTGGGGGGCTCATTGGTTTTCT